GGCAACCACTGATCTTTTTACTTTTCCTAGGATGTCATACAGTTGCAGTCATGTAAGTATGTGGGTTTCTCAGACTTCTTTCATTAAGTAATGTGCATTTAAGGTTTACCCATGCCTTTATGTGGCTTGAGAATTCATTTCTTTTTATTACTGAGTAATACCCCCATTGTACAGACTGCCACAGTTTATTCTTTCACCTTTTGAAGGATATCTTAGTTGCTTCTAGTTTTTTGAAATTGTAAGTAAAGCAGATATAAACATTCATATGCAGGTTTTTATGTGGGCACAAGTTTTCTATTCTTTTGGGTTAATAGACCTCGGAGCATGATGGCTGGATCCTACAGTAAGGCTATGTTTAGCTTTGTGAGACAGCCACACTATCTTCTAATGTGACTGTGCCATTTTGCACTTCCACTGGCATTGAATGAAGAGTTCGTATTGTTGCATATCCTAACATTTGGTTTTGTCAATGTTTTGGATTTTGCCAATCTAGGAGTTTAGTGCTATCTTATTGCTGTTTTAATCTGCAATTCCCTAGTGACATATGATGTTAGACATCTTTTCATGTGTTTATTTGCCATCTGTATATCTACTTCGGTGGGGTGTCTGTTCCATTCTTTTGCCCAATTTTTAATTGCATTATTATCACAACTTCTTGAGTTTTAAGAGTTCTTTGTATGTTTCGGACACACGCCCTTGGTCAGACGCGTTCTGCAAATATTTTCTCCTTGTCTGTGGCTTATCATTCTCTTAATGTCCCTCACAGACCAAAAGTTTTTAAACTTTCATGGATTATATTTTTGGTTTTGTATCTAAAAAGTCATTACCATATCCAAGGTCATCTCGGTTTTCTCCTGTTATCTTTTCTAAGTTTTATATCTTACATTTAGGTCTGAGATCCATTTTGAGGTTTTTTTTTTTTTAATTAAAGGTATAAAATCTGTGTCTAAAATTACTTTTTTGCTTGTGGATGTCTAGCTATTCCAGCACCATTTGCTGAAAAGACTTTTCTTCCTCCACTGAATTGTTTTTGTTCCTTCATCAAAAATCAATTGCTTGTACTTGTATGGGTGTATTTCTGGGCTCTTTATTCTGTTCTACTGATCCATCTGTCTATTATTTTGCCAATGTCACACTGTCTTAATTGTGACAGCTTAAGAGTAAGTCTTGAAGGAGCGCCTGGGAGGCTCAGTCGGTTAAGCATCTGTCTTCGGCTCAGGTCGTGATCCCAGGGTCCTGCCCCGCTCTGGATTCCTCGCTCAGTGGGGAGTCTGCTTCTCCCTACCCCTCTGCCTACAGCTCCTTCTGCTTGTGTGTGCACTCTCTGTCAAATAAGTAAATAAAATCTTTAAAAAAAATAGTAAGTCTTAAAGTTGAGTAGTGTCAGCGCTTTGATTTCATTTTCCTCAGTATCGTGTTGGCTGTTCCGAGTCTTTTGCCTTTCCACATAGGATCATTTAGTCAGTATCTATAAAATACTGATTTTGTTTGGTGTTGTGTTGAATCTACAGATCAAGCTGGGAAGAACTAACAACTTAACAATATTGAATCTTCCCACTCGTGAACATGGAATGTCTCTCCATTTATTTAAATCTTCTTTCTCTTATCAGAGTTTTAGTTTTTCTCATATAGATTTTGTATATGTTTTGTTAGATTTATACTTGAGTGCCTCATTTTTGGGTATGCCAATATAAATTATATATTGTTTTTTAAATTTCAAATTTCAATTGTTCCTTACTGATATAAAGTAATTGATTTTATATATATATATATATATATATATATATATATTAAGATTTTATTTATTTATTTGACAGAGAGAGATCACAAGTAGGCAGAGAGGCAGGCAGAGAGAGAGGAGAAAGCAGGCTCTCCATGGAGCAGAGAGTCCAATGCGGGGCTTGATCCCAGGACCCTGGGATCATGACCTGAGCCGAAGGCAGAGGCTTAACCTACTGAGCCACTCAGGTGCCCCTGATTTTTATATATTAACTTTGGATCCCGCAACTGTAGTATAATCATTCATGAGTTCCAAGAATTTGTCAATTCTTTGGGATTTTCTACATAGACAATCAAAACATCTGTGAATAAAGACAGTGTCATATTCCTTCTTTCCCAATCTTTATGCCTTCTGTTTTCTTGTCTTACTGCATTAACTAGGTTTCCCAGTACAATGTTGAATGTGAATGGTTAGAGGGGACATCCTTGTCTTGTTCCTGATCTTAGGGAAGAACCATCTAGTTTCTCATCAAGTATGGTAAAAACTGTAGGATTTCTGCAGATGTTCTTTATCAAACTGAGGAAGCTTCCCTTTATTCTTAGTTTGTGGTGAGTTCATGAACAGGTACTGGATTTTGAGTCAAAAGCTTTTTCTAAATCCACAGACATGATCATATGATTTTTCTTCTTTAGTCTATTGATGTGATGGATTACATTAACTGTTGAATGTTGCACCAGCCTTGCATACCTGGAATAAATCCCATTTGTCTGTGGCATGTAATTCTTTTTATATACCATTGGATTCAATCTGTTAATATCTTGCTGAGGAGTTTTCCGTCTGTGTTCATGAGTTACATTGGTCTGTAATGTCTTTTTTATATGTCGACAGGCTGAGAAATCTCAGAGCCATCAGTCAGTTACATGTAAGTGGTCATCAGTTTAATCAGATTATTGTTCTTCGGAAAGCTAAACAACTGCAGGGGGCAAAGATATTACCGCACAAAGGGAAAACATGAAACACTCAGGGATCAAGGCAGCTGTAGCAGCTCAAGAGCATGAAAACCTTAGTTTATACTATTTTCCTTAGTTCTGAAGTTGTGAATCAGAGGAGGGAGAAGGAAAGAATCAGTCCAGGAAGATGAGGGATAAGATATCTTCTGAGTGCCTGAAAGAAACTATTTTTCTTTCTCTTTTTTTTTTTTTTTTTTGGTGAGATACAATAGCCTTGTCTGACTTTTAACTTAAAAATAATGGGGGTCTAAGCCCCCAGTTCCACGCTTAGACACTGGGTCAAGGATGATAAGCCTCTGTAGCATAAAAACTTTTCTCTACCCAGATCTGCTCCCTCCCCTTCTTTATCAATTTGACAATTTCAAACAACCCAAGAATTTTAACCACAGAAAACTATCTTCACAATTTTTGCCAACTCTAAATTATACCATTATTTACTTAATAAATTCCATAAAATTATGAAAATTAATTTTAAAAGGAAAATTTTACCTCCAACATTAATCTCTTTTTAAAATATTTTATTTACTTATTTATTTATCAGAGAGAGAGAGAGAGAGAGAGAGAGCACACACAAGCAGGCAGAGTGGCAGGTAGAGGCAGAGAGAGAAACAGGCTCCTTGCTGAGCAAAGAGCTCGATATGGGACTTGATCCCAGGACCCTGGGATCACGACCTGAGCCGAAGGCAGCGGCTTAACCGATTGAGCCACCCAGGTGTCCCTCTCCATTGTTAATCTTACCAAATACAGATGCTACACACTGACATACACTAAAAAATGACTGTTAAAGTTAAAAATATTTATCCCTCTACCACCTAAAGTCATCTACTGTGCGACCAGTGCTAAATGTGCCCCATACTTTGAGAAATACTCATGAGATCTCTTTCATTTCATAAGTAATGAAGGTGAGGACCAGAAAGTAAAGTGAGCTATTTAAGGTCACAGAGCTAATCAGGGGCTGAGCTGCAGCCAACCCTTTCTCTCTTTCCTCCACAAACAAAAATCAACTCTTCACCCACCTATACTACTATTCTTTCTACTACATCAACTATTTTAAAAAAAAAAAAAAAAAAGGAAGAGGGTATCTTATTTATTAACTTTTTAGTCAGCTTTCTCCAAATTGCCTTTTTTTTCTTTTTGGCAGGTTGTCTTACTGGCTCAAAACTGAACTCCCACTGGAATAAAACTGACCTGGCTATGAAGCAAGGACAGGAACACCAACGGAGAGTAGCCATCTGTCCTGGGCCTGATAGGGAAGAGGGGCTTTACCTGAGGGTTCGTGACGGTTGAAAAAAGAATTGAAAAGTCATGAGAAGCACCCCCTTCCCACTCAAGGGACAGCTCAGCTGCCTGGAACCTCTGATGTCCTCTGCTACTGGCTCCATACGGCAGAGGACATTCAGAGTACCACTCTGAGTGTTCCCCAAATTAACAAGCAATTTTAAAAAAGAATATAAGGTGTATTAAGTGTTTTTTTTACGAATGGTATTCTGAGCTTAATGCTGGCCAAAAACAGAGAACTAATTCACATGTGGAAGTGTCAAAAAAAAAAAAAAAAACTTTAGAGAAGTGAGGATAAACAAAGGTAAGGAAAACTGTCCAGTCTGAAATGTGCTAAACTTAAAGAAGTTTCAAAAAGTTTACAAAAAGAGAAAAAGTTAATATATTCTGATAGCCATAGTCTCTGGAAAAAACTCCACTGGAAAACAAAATAGTTGCAATATCTGAAAAATATAGTGGTTTCAGGTAGTCACCAACAAAAAGGAAAAAGAACAGATAACAAAGTTGAAATACATAGAAGTAGGACAAAAACCTGCCCATAAATACCCCCTTATTCTTCCATTCCTCTCTATCCACTCAGATCCTTCTAGGTCCAGCTCATTCCTCCTCCACAAAGCCCCTTTCTCCTATCCTGACTTAAAATTACTGCTCCTCTTCTGAACTCTGTGTACTTGGCAATCATTCATGTGCTGTTTTCCCCCTCCCAATTCAACCCTAGGCTCCAAGACAGCAGCACTCATGTCAGACATAACCTTGGTGTCCCAAGAGTACCTATAAATAGTGCCTCCTGTGGAGTAAATAATTAATATACACTGAGTCAAGGAAGCCAACTAGAAATCACTGTTCTTAAAGGAAAGGGAGACTAGGGCAGGCGTAAAGAATACAGAATCTGAGCATGCACCATAAATTGTACTATATCAAATCAATTCAAATCGAGTTACAAATAGAATCAACAGGCAAAGTTACCTGAAATTGCAAAAACAGTACAGTACCTGCAAAAGACTCTCTATGGCATGAAAACCTCGAATTAAATTCAGAGCTCCACATAAAAGACTGAGGATAAATGCCACAATCCCTGACAGAGTCGCTGGTTCCAGTCGCTGGTGAGCTGGAAATAAAAGAAATGGTTAGAAATGAACACCATTATTCTATGCCAATACCTAAACTTACGTAAAATGAAATTCACTGCTCAATTTAAATGGGTCAAACATGGATTAATCTTCATAAATTTATTTATTAACATATTAGTAGTTAAATTTTTAATGCAAAATGTCTGACAACATGATAGCTTCACTGCCCTGAACTCAAAGTCAATTAACTTCTTTTTCTCTATATTTTTAACAGACATCTAACATGTACTTGGGGTATATAGGCTAAGGAGTGCTCACATCTGGCAGCGTATCATGTAAAAAACAAAAACAAAACCAAAAACCTTACTGCCTAAATAGGTCTACCATTTGCAAAGAGTTGCAAGTATTTGCAAAGGTGACTTCACCTGAAAGATCACTGTGTAATTCCTACTTTTTCTGAAAATGCTTAGATAACATTTTTAAGAACAAACACAGCTTGCTTTTTTAAAGCAAAAGTCTCCCTTATTTGGGTTCCAGGTCTATAAATATCACGGGATATAGGTGAAAGCTCCTATATAATCACCAATCTGAACTTCACAATAGAAAGTCTTCCGGCTATGAAGTTCTTGATCCCTGAGGACCACATGAAGACCACTACAAATGATAAAACACTAGCTGAAAAAGCAAGTGACCACTTCAACTTCACAAATGCATCAGGGTTTCAGCAATGTAAGAAATTCAGTTATACAACAGTTTCACTTTATCATCATCTTGGGCTTAATAAACAACTGAGTCTAAAGGAAAATACAAAACTAAATACATAATCATCTAGACCTCGAAAAGGAGACAGAGGAAAAGAGAGAACAACAGAACTACAGTTAGGTCATTTCATTTAAATCACTGAAGTGTAAAAGCGCTAACAATGAAGTTAATGGGGTGGAACTTTAATATAAAGAAAGGCTTAAATCTTTGCAACTTATATTCAGCCATTACATCAGAAAAGCTTCCCTAAACAGTTCACAGAAACACAAAACCCCACATATCACAGGAAATTATTTGTTCCTCAAGTTCAGCAGAAAATGCTAAGATGGAAAAAAGTTCCTGAAGTTTCTTCTGTGCCCAAGCTGATTGCTGGATCTCTCAATCAATTTCCTTGAGATTTTAATATGAAAATAAAAAATTAAATATCTCTGTAAAGTATTAATACCAAGTTTTATAGTAGTAGAGGAAAAAAACCCTCACAATTTAAAAATCTTTCCAACTAGTCTACCAATTAGTCATGTTTTGTATTCCTGGTCCATCCTTCCCCAAACCCTCTCTCAGGAGTAAGGGAAAGCTGGCTTCTAATAAAAAAAAAGAAATCCTTAATATGGGCCTCAAGCATAATACTGGACAACTAAACAGATTATATAAATCGTACTTCTGAAATATACAAGTTTACCTTACAAAAAAACCCAAATAATATTCTGTATAACTAAAAAATATTAGCTGTTTATGGTCAAGTAAAATATAGCCATTCTTGAATGGGAAAATATTACCATTTTAATGTGTTGATCAATGTTTAAGAAATAAATAATAGGACTAAATAATAGGACTATATAAATTTTCTAATATTTATCTCTTGGCCTTCCAGCACTCTTTATAATTATAATATACCATTTGTTATTATTAAAATTATTTCAAAATGAACAGAAATATTTTTAAAAGCATAAAAGCAAATGACAATTCTCTTTTAACAAAGACAGCGCATGTATTATGCTGCGGGAGAGGCTGGAGCTGTGCGCAATCACTGTGGGAAAGAAATTCTCAAGTGGGGATTCACCCACTCCCACCCTATTTCCTTCCCTAGGACCTGTGGAAATGGTTACCAAGAGAAAACTCCATCTGCATACAACAAGAGGGTGATACTCCCTAAGGACAATTTGTCATGTCAACAACTGAACAAGATATTTAATCACATTTTAATGTATTATGCGATATCTGCTACTTTCTATTTCAGTAAAACAAATTTTAGATTTATTGTTATCCACAAATGCTTACTTGACACTTCAATCTGGCACCATGATAGGTACTATTAGGTTAAAGTAGATTTGAAACAGTAACAAATGAGAAGCAATGTGGAAAAAAAGTTCCTGAATCCAAAAAAGTGTTACCTGGTCAATTTTTGTTTTGTTTTTGCTATTATTATCTTTTGCTACAACACCATTTCTTTACTTAGCCTCTTTGAGCCCAATAATGGCATTTTCACAAAATTAAATTTTTTCTGAACCAGTAATTAATGAAGTTTAGACAAGTTCCTAAAGAAGTAAATCTTCTGGAACCAGAGGGCTATTGCTTATAGGGAATTAAGTATTTACTCAGCAAATACTTTTTAGCATAATTCTGTGTAAGATGTCATGCTTTAGAAAATACAATAAATGATTTGCATAACCTGCCCTCAAGATACTTCTATTTTTTTTTTTTTTAAAGATTTTATTTATTTGTCAGAGAGAGAGAGTACACACAAGCAGGCAGAGAGGCAGGCAGAGAGAGAGGAGGAAGCAGGCTCCCTGCCGAGCAAGGAGCCTGATGCGGGACTCGATCCCAGAACCCCAGGATCATGACCTGAGCCGAAGGCAGCGGCTTAGCCAACTGAGCCACCCAGGCGTCCCCTTCAAGATACTTCTAGTCTTTTGAAGGGAAAAAAAACAGATAAGCCTGTGAAAGTAATAAGCATTCTAAACTAAAAGAGTTAGATTCTGAAGAGGAGGAGAGCTGGGTGGTTCAGTCCGTTAAGCATCTGTCTTTGGCTCAGATCATGATACCAGGTTCCTGGGATCAGGTCCTGTACTGGGCTCCCTGCTCAATGAGGAGTATGCTTCCCCCTGCCCTGCTCCTTGTGCTCTCTCTGTGAAATAAATGAATCTTTTTTAAAAAATAAAGAAAAGAAAAAAGGAATTCTGAAGAGGAAAGATAACTAGGGAGAAGGTGGTGATACAGCAATGGTAAGAAAACCAAGGAAGATCTTTAAAGATGGCTAAAATTTATAGACAGGCACGAATGGGAAAAACTGCACTGCTGCAGAAGAGAATGTGAGCATGGAGGTGGAAATGAGATGCAAATAAGAGCATGAACAACAACAACTACAACCACCTCTGCCAATCCTACGAATAGTGTCTGTTCTCAATGTACCAGGCACAAGTGCTTATATACATGATCTCATGTCACCCCTCCAGGAACCCACTGCAGTAGGTACTAGAATTATCCTTATTTTTTTAGATGAAACTAAGGTTGGGGAGGGGGGGATTAGATAATTTGCCCAAAGTAAGTAAATGAATGGGGGATTTAAACCCAGGTAGCCTGACACTAGACCTCATGTTCTTAACCACTCTGCCACTGGGCACTATTACTGGTTCTGTTTGGCTTAAAAGGATATTTATGAAGAGAGGAAGAAAGAAGGTAAAAAAGGGGGGTTGAAGCAAATTAATAGATAGTTGTAAATACTAGACTAAAAATTATGAACAAGTTAGACAATGGGGAAACACTGAAGAGCTAGAGACCAATATGGTTAATGCTATGCTTAAGGAATATTAATCTATCAATGGGCTGTAAGGAGATTAAAAGCAGGAAGACAATATTTTCTCAGTGCTTTCTTAGTAGGTACACTTTGTCCCACTTATCCTTCAAAATGAGGTACTTCATAAGGCAGGAATGACTAACTTTTCAGTTTCTGAATTTTTTCATCTGTCAATGGAGGCTAAATAATTTGCTGTAAGTCAGACAGCTAGTAAGTGTCATCTTCGCAATTAGCACTTGGGTCTGTAAGACTGCAAAGCCCATGCTATTTCCACAAATATACCTTAGGGATTCATTGCAAAAGACTGGCTGATAAGAGGGCCTGAATTTGGATAGTGACAGCAGGAATAAAGAAGAAAGAGGTGAGTGATATCACAGGGGTTAAAACTACTAGACATGGCAACTAGTTAGATATGGGAAACAAAAGGGAAAAAAAAAATTTTTAAATGTCAAGATTTTAAGTGTGGGCAATTAGAAAGTTAATGGTGCTACCAACAAAGACGCTGGAAGAAACTCAGCTTTGATCAAGAACGGAGATTTTTTTTTTTTAAGATTCTATTTAGGGGCGCCTGGGTGGCTCAGTGGGTTAAAGCCTTTGCTTTCGGCTCAGGTCATGATCCCAGGGTCCTGGAATCAAGCCCAGCATCGGGCTCTCAGCGGGGAGCCTGCTCCCCCCTCTCTCTGCCTGCCTCTCTGCCTACTTGGGATCTCTCTGTTTTTATTTGACCGAGAGAGACACAAAGAGACACAGCGAGAGAAGGAACACAAGCAGGGGGAGTGGGAGAGGGAGAAGCAGGCTTCCTGCTGAGCAGGGATCCTGATGCAGGCTTGATCCCAGAACCTTGGGATCATGACCTGAGCTGAAGGCAGACGCTTAATGATTGAGCCACCCAGGTGCCCTGAGAATGGAGACATTTTAAACATATCAAACTTGTAGTGATAATGAGACATGTTTATTTAATGAGCAATGAAAGAGTAGCAGAGCTGGAGAAACAGATGTGGTTTGTATCTGAAAGGAAGGGCTGGGATGAGATTACTAGAGAAAGAAGTAGCCCAAGGGGAAATCCTGGGCAAATCTTTGGTAAACAGTACCCTTGCAGGGAGGATGAGGAGTCAGGAAGACAGATTTAGGAGAACAAGAGGAGGAAAGAGCCTCAGAAGCCTCGAAAGGGGAGGTCATCCAGAAGAAAGATATGGATAACAATGCCTGTGGACAAGCCAAAGACAGTTTGAACTCAAAATGAAAAAAAAAAATTAGATTTATTGACTAAAAGATGGTTGTTGACCCTTTATAAAAACAATTTCACAAGAGTGAAGGCAAAATTTAGACTGCAAGAGGCTACATAACTATTGATGGTAAGAGAGAGAAGCAGTAAGTGAATGCTACTGCCTCTAAAGAAAACCAAGATGACAGCGTGACAGATAGACTAGGACTGAGAAATAATAATTTTTCCCCTGTAATGTGATGGAGGAGAGAGATTTA